TGGCTGGTAATCAGTGGCCTCAAAGATTTTCCCCTGGACTGTCAAGGCAAGATCATCAGCATAGACGAAACTCCTGGAGTATGGCAATGTTGGTTAAACGCCTGTATACATTTTAAAAAGTAATGCAGCCAGGAAACTGTTCCTTTGATTTCTCCAGCAATTGTGTTTACTGCGGAAATTCAACAAAGAATTTTCAGTTCTGAAGTAGTACAGCATTAATTTCTGTTCGCCCATGATCTTTTTAGTAAGGAAATAGAGTTTTTGATCAGCATCTGATGGTGGACAGCGTGATATGCCACTGTAAGGTCAACAAATGCTGCTCCAGTTATTTTACATGTTTCAAACCCCTCTTCTATAAGCTCAGTTTAAGATTTGAGCCATATAGCTCTTGCCAGTTCTAAACTCTGTCTGTTCTGGCATTAGTAGAAGTTCCATTTTAGGGTCTATACAGTTTAATATTTATTTAAACACTTTCTATAAGTGGCCTAGTAGGGAGATTGACTTGTAGCTTTTAGTCTGATGGTTCTTTGCCTGGTTTCAATACAGCTATTACTTTAGTCTTCTTCCATATTTTTGGAATTTGTTTGCTCATCAATCGGCAATTAAAGAGTTGAAGGAAGCATTCCTTTGTGTTTTGACCCAAAATGTTTAATTAGCTGAATTCAGATATCACTGAGTCCTGTCATTCCTACATCTTCTTATGGCTTCCTTTTAGTTCTACCTATATGAATGTAGCAGAAATCCATTGGATTCACACTGAACATCTCTTTGATGTTTTATTTTTTATTACGTGTTGGTTGGTCTTCCCTGCCAGGAATATGTGGTTGGTGGCTATATTTGCTTACATTGTCCTTTTGTTTGGATCATTGTTCAGTTTTTCCAGTATTCTCCAAGCTTTCTGGCTGCTTCCTGCCATGTTAAGGTCTGTTGGAGCATCCATCCAATGAGTTTTCTTTCCGTTTTGTTTTGCATGTTAGAAACATGACACATACACTCCCATTACCAAATATGCTGGTGCTTTGTAGACTGAATTAAATATATATATGTCTAAAAATTGTAAGGCAGACTTTCCTCCAAAGTGATTCTAGCAATGGCCAAAACTAAATACACACTGGAATGCAGTCCTGCACACATTTACCTTGGACTAAATCCTAGTGAATTCAGAATAGCCCCTAGTAGACATGTATAGGATTGCACTCAACACTGATCCTTGTACCCTTTAGATTGACACAGGTGTCCAAGACTACCACAGAGTATGTGATCTGGGCACAGGTTGCCTATTTTGTTCAGGAAATGAAGGATCCAGTGCTGTCTTTACAGTGCTGAAAAGGACTTCTGCTCATGCAAGATGGAGCTCCCTTTTCCCAAAAAGCTGGTCCTACAGGTTCAGAACAATGCAGGAGGTGCCAAGATCAGTAAAAATGGGGTGCCTTGTATTCCACTAGTGTAATATTAGCAGTGAATGCAAGTTGGTATTATTTTAGAAAATCTTGCAGTCTGATCAGAAATGGAAATGAATTATGAAATTGTGATATGAATAATGAACTGTCTGTTCCAGTCCCCTCCTCTTAAATCTCATTTTACTGGTGAAATATTTGAATGTGACATTAGCTTTTAAAAGCTCAGATTCATTAGTGAGTACCAACTAGAGTAGGCCCATTACATGAGAGGGAATTTGGTGAGTCAAGTCCTCTGTAAGTTCCATTGATTCCATTGACCTACTCTGCTTGTGACTTACAACTAGATTTCCGTCAGTGTCTTGGAGTACGTTCTTGGCTTACAATTCAGCAGTCTGTTGAATAAACCTTTTAAAATCCCATATATATATAGGTCTATTCAACAGACTGCTGAATTGTAAGCCAAGAACATACTCCAAGATACACATATATAGTGGTGCCTCGCTTAGCGATCGCTCCATTGAGTGATGAAATCGCTTAGTGATGGGGTTTTGGCCATCACCAGAGCGATCGCTTAGCGATGGCCCCTATGGGGAAAAATCACTTTGCGATGATCGCGGGGAAGCGATCATGGCAAAGCGACCCTTTTTGCACAGCTGATCGGCGGTTTCAAAATGGCTGCCGGAAAAACAAAATGGCCGCCTACTGTTTTGCCTCGCTTTAGAGGCACTGAAAATGGCCGCCCTTATGGAGGATCTTAAGGTCAGTTTTTAAGCCCATAGGAACGCATTAAACAGATTTTAATGCGTTTCTATGGGCTTTTAAATTCCGTTTAGCGATGAAATCGCTTAGCAACGTTTTTCCTGGAACGGATTAACTTCGCTAAGCAAGGCAGCACTGTATATAAATTTGTTTGCTCATCTAGCAGCTATTAAAGAGTTGAAGGAACCATTCCTTTGCCCAAAATGTTTAATTTGGCCAATTTGAATATTGTCAGAAGTGACAGAACTCTTAACAAAATATTGTTTATCAGTGATTGTCATTGTTAACTATCTAATTACCATGTAGCTGCCTGGAGTAGACTTTGTCTAAAAGGGCGGGATAGAATGAATAAATAGCCTAAAATTCTGTAAAGCTGTTTACTTCTAGTTTGTGTGGGACTTAAACAACAAAAAGAAAATTTGTCAGATGTTATGCATTGCTTAAATCATTGAACGTAAAATGTGCTCCCAGTCTTCTCAATTGCTTAATTGAGAAAATGAGACACAAGATAAACACCAAGAAATGTAGAATTTGGAATCACAGAAGACAAATTGGGCCTTTTGACGGTATTATGGTCATGGATATTACCAACATTTTTTCTTCTAGGCCTTTGCATGAGCAGGGAAATTCTAACATTATTTGTGTATCAGAGGGACGGTTGTTATTTACAATCCAAGGTCCAGAGTTTCATAACCTACTGAGCAGTAAACAGGAGAAGATGATGATCATCATCTTCGTCATAATCTTAGAACTGCAGAGCTGGAAGAAACTCTTATGTATCATTGAGTCCAGTCTCTATCAAAGAGGCACAGTGGGGAATCAAACTCCCAACCTCTGGTTCAGCTGCCAAACACCTAAACCATTGGGCTATGTGTACTGAACATGTGTGGATGCTTTTAATAAATATTTAGTTCCTTTAAATTTTTATTTAGATGAGTTACTTTGCTGAATCAGACCAAATTTCTATTTGCTCCAATATTCACATTCCAAAAACATTTAGCTGCTCATAAATATGATAGTCATTACTTGTCCATACCAAGCATATGGAATATTGCTTCTGTAAACTGAAGGTTCATTTGGCTGTTTGAGATTAATATCTATAGGTAAAAGCCATTCAACTTTGACAGCAATGTTTTATTTTAGATAATATTTCAAATGGTTGAAGCAGCAGCAGATTTCCTGTGTTCTAGCTGCGTAGGAGCTTGGCAAGAAAAGAGAGACAGCTGTAGTATATTAGTATTCTCCAAGCATGGTTTGAAACATCTGGGCTGTTAATGCCAGTGGCTGTTTATTCTTTCCATGTTGGCTTTAACACGTGTCAAAAATACATTGTAACATTTGTCTGTTCTTGTTCAGTAGGTGCCTTTTATTTAAGAATGGCCTACACACTCTGTCTTACGTCTTCTTGTGTAAGTGTGAATGGTAGTAATACTGAATAAAACAAGTCCTGATGAATGTAAATCTAATATCTCCACTGGATAGATACTACAAAGGTTATTTGTGCACATATGTACAAAATTAACCCAAGGGAAAGCATTCTCCTGCCAGTGTGTGTCCTGCAGGACAGGACCTCTTGAAGTTAACTGATGATATAACTGTTCTTACAAAATTAGTTACCTCACTGCTGTTTAGTTACAATTACATTGTGTCTTGCATTTCCAGTCTGAAAACCTAATTGCATTCATGATAAGCAGCTGCAGAAATGAAGTGTTACTGTATGAATATCAGTAGTTGCTGATGGTAAAGTTAATAATGTAGGAGCAAATTGTGTTTCAGTGCTTAGAATGCATTCTTTCTTAATAAATTTCTCCTAATTGTGTTTTATGGTGGAAATGAAGAAACTTGATCAAATTGCCACTAGAGATTGTATAATGTTTTAAAGTATGAATTTGATGCAAAAATTGTATCTTGGGAATGTTATATATGGAGTTTTCACAGGTATTCATAGTGGATTTTTAAAATTGGCACTCTTATGGATTATGGTATTTCTTAGAAATGTAAGCATAATAAACTTTTAAAGAGAAACTACTGTCTTGACGTTTTAATTTAATTGATTTTATTGCCTAGTAATTGTTTTCACTTTTTTACTTTTATTGTTTGAAAGAAATCATATTTTTGTAATTAGATGCCATAAATACTTGCAATAAATTAATTACAAATGTTCACGCCTGCATACTTTCATGAACAATTTGGGGAAACTGCTTCTAAATTATGAATATATTTTATATCTGCAACATGAATAACAACATATTTCACGGGTTTATTTTTGATTGGGAGAGATGAAAATACTGTACAACACATTCAAGCAAGGGCTTGCTTGTACTTTGTTTTAGACAGTGTTTCACAGACTTCAAATAACTGGACATCAAATACAATTATAATTATACAGTTTGGCCCTTAGGCATAAAAGAAATGCCATCTCATGAGAAGAGAAGACTCCCTGGAAAAGAGCCTGATGTTGGGAAAATGTGAAGGCAAGAGGAGAAGGGGACGACAGAGGATGAGATGGCTCGACAGTGTCATCAAAGTGACGAACATGAATTTGACCAAACTCCGGGAGGCAGTAGAAGACAGGAGGGCCTGGCGTGCTCTGGTCCATGGAGTCACGAAGAGTCGGACACGACTAAACAACAAAATCAACAAAAGGGCTATTGGCCGACAGGCAACATAGCCTGTTAAATTAAGGGGGGGGAGGGGGGTAGCTTGCAATGTATCCCGTAAGGACTGAACGGACTGAGAAGCATTGCTTGGGTGTCTGCGGAAATGGACTGGCCTTGCGAAAGCTCATAGTATTAAAATATAGCAGTTAGTCTTTAAGGTGCTAGGACGTTTTTAGTTTTATTTTGTCTTGTTTTTGCTGTTGTTTGTTTGCATAATATGCTTCGCCCAGGGGTTTAACCTCGAGGGGCTATGTTTAACCAACTTGCTCTCGTTGGAATTAGTGGGAAAGGGATTTCCAAGCAGGGTTTGGAGGCAACCCTTGCTTTGCAAGGAAGCCGTGATGACGGCAGTTGCTAAGAGACAGATTCAGGATCCGGCAACTCAGAACTGTGGCAGCGGCGACCGGGGCTCGCCCCGCTTCTTCCAATCCCGGTCACGGGTTCCGACGGGGGAACGGGCCAATCCGCCTTCCTCTTTCGCGGCGCGGCCCTCGCTCGGTTCTGCGCCTTTGGTTTCCCCGGGAGGGCGCAGGCCTGCTTCTGGAGTTTGGCCGTTGCTGTGGAAACCACAGCGGTCGGAGCAGAAGCGCTTGGGCCTCTGACTCCCAAGAGGTGAGGCTTTGGGGGCCTTCCGTTGGTTCCCCCCCCCACAACGCGCGTCCCCCTCAGGTTTTCCATAAACTACGCACTCAGATTTGGTGGGTGGGAGGCAGTCCCCTGAACGACATAAAAGAGGCTTCGGGCAATGGAGGCAAAACGCTCGAGTCCACTATGCTCGCCTGTTATCTCTGCCAAGAAAACCGCATCTGTTTATTTTGCAACCCTTATGAGCTGATCGGCTTTCGCACGTGCTCTCTTATCCGCTTCTGAAACTCTGCAACCGAAACAGCGCTTCCCAAAACATCTCTTTGCTGTCTAGTGTGCACGTTTTACAGATGTGTCATCACCGGATCTGTGTTTCGGTCAGTCGTGAGTTGAAGCTCGTGAGTATGAAGCGAGAGGGAAAGGGGGGGGGGAATGGAGACAATTCCTCATTCCAGGCATCAGGTTTTAACAGTACTTTCTCCTCCACCTGGAAAAGCTTTCTAATGAGGAGAATGAGAATTTGAATAATAACTCAACTGCCAAGAGGACGAAAAGAAGCCTAGTATAAACCCCTGGTTTATACTAGGTATAAATATACCAGATGAGCGGGATATAAATCAATCAATCGATCGATCGATCAGTCAATCAATCAATCAATCAATCAATCAAATAAATAAATAAATAAATAAATAAATAAATAAATAAATAAATAAATAAATAAATAAATAAATAAATAAATAAATAAATAAATAAATAAATAAATAAATAAATAAATAAATAAATAAATAAATAAATAAATAAATAAATGGGTATCCGTGTGCTGTTTTCATAATGTTTCACTTAAAAGGGATTAGATATTACGTCTTCTCAAACAAAAGCTATCTTAAATTGTCACAATGCAAGGGTGTACTTCGGCTGAATCCCACTGCTTCTGCTAGAACTGCCAACGGCTCTTTCCTCCTGCACACTCAAGGCCCTCTGAAACCTTACTCCAGAGGGCTGGAAGATCTTTTGAGAGCAGGTTTTTTCAGCAGCACAGACATATAGCAGGAGGGGAGAAATTCCCAACTCCAGTGGCATGTGATATCAAACCATAGTGCTGGATTTTGGGCAAAGTATTAGACGCTACCTCTGATCTTCCATTTAGGGTCAAAGATTGTGTTTCAATTGTGTAGGACAGTAGAGAAGAGTTTGGCTAAATGTTGAAATATGCACTCAAAGTGTACTGAGTGGTTCATTGTGGTAAAGGTTCTTCGTCTAATCTACTTTATGAAGTAATTGTGAGGAAAAAGTGGGAAGGCTCACATGTCTCCTTTAGAAAATATCTGAACAAAAACAGGACAGGAATTTGTTTTTTAAAGATGTATTGGTTGTTTCTTAATATGTATGCATGTTGGTCTCTTATTAAAGAGATCCTTTAAAAAAACGCTGAGTGTAAAGCTAATAAAAATTCAGTCTCTGAATAATCCAAATTTGTCCAATCTGCATGTTCTCAATGGAAAATCATGTAATGGTATAATCCTGTTCTTACTCAACAAGGAGTAATTGCTACTGAACTCAGTTATGAGCTGTAGTGGTAAATTGTGAATTCCTAGCACTTGTCATGTCTGACCCTACAATCAATCCACTAAGGACAGTCCAGAAGTACAGTGAGGACTGTAGCTAAACTCAGAGGGACCAGGCATGCCTGATTGGAGTTATAGACATCATTGTCCCTGGTACTGTAATTAGAAAAAAAAAGTTACTTTGACTTGCAGGACCTAACTCCTCTACAGCACTGTTTTTAAGTAGACACCACTGCTGATAAAATTTTAAGTGTCCATGGCAGAATAGTGTGCATACATTTAAACCACTTTATTTAAACATACCTTCATTTTTGAATGGAAATTAGGAATAACTTCTTGGATAATGAAACCATTGTGCCACTGTACTGCTGTGTTGAAGAGTATGAGATTCAAATCTGGGTGACCCATGTTTGTATTCTGATGATAGTCACTGGGTGACTTTATGGCAGTCACTGTCACACAGCCTAAATCATTTTACAAGCCATTGTGGGAACTCAAATGAGTTAGGAGCATGTATGCTTCCTTCAAGGAAATGTGGATATAAATGTATATACAGTAGTGGCCAAAATCCTGTTGCTTATTGTAGTAAATGACACTAGAACAAGGCTATCTGCAGACTTGATTTGGTGAATCAACTCCTCTGTAATCTTTATTGATTCAAATGAGCATGATTTTTTGAGAGCATAAAAAATGGCTGAAATCCAATACGTAGTCAGTTGCAAATCCAGGCCCATTTGAATCAATAAAGCTTAGAGGAGTTAACTCACCAAATCCCCATTGATTCAGTGAGCTTTCTTTAGTGTGATTAATTATGCTGAGGCCAATAAATAGTAAATAATGCCTGCATGCCTGGTTCGTAGTTTGCTTCATATTATAACTGGACACGTCTTTCACTGAAGGATGGAATTTGGGGGATTTTGATTACTTCTGCCTGAAAATGTAAAATTTTAGATACAGTACTGGGAAATATTTTGTATTTCTTTTGGTTTACTTCGTAATTTCATCCAGAGTTTATTAGATGAGCAGATCCATAGTAATAAAGAGGCCAAGCGGTGCTGGAAATGACTTACCAAAGCAGTCACTAATTCAGTGCAGCTTTTCAGTAAGGCTTCCAACTGTCTAATGTACAGTATTAAACTAATTCTGTTGCTGCCTTTTTTCCATCCTCTATTGTAACCTGAACAGAGAGTGCCTTATATGCCCACAGCACAATTATATACTATGCAATCCTTTGTTAGTTAATTTTCTGTGTTGACTTCCCTTTTATTTAGCTCTTAGTGTATTTTCTGTTTCATTTTCAGCTTGGAAACAAAAAGTAGTATGAAAGGACATATATGCGTGTAACAGTATCACTCCTGCTTGTGAGCTTTATGTGGGAGTCATAGTTTCAGTAGCATTTACTTCTAATGAACTAGGATAACAGCTAAATCTAAGAATCATTGTGATATACTTAATAATTATTTGGAGTCATTTGGCTAGGCATGCAGTATTATGGATTACTGGTTACAAGGCTCCATTTAAAACTTGTGTATGAAGTGCTCAGGTGATTGCAAAGCCACATTTCGTCCAAAACCTTTTGACTCAAGTACAGTGGTGCCTCGATTTACGACCATAATCTGTTCCAGAAGATGGACGTAACTTGAAATGGTTGTAAGTCAAAGCACCATTTCCCATAGAAATGCTTTGAAATGCAATTCATTCATTCTGGCCGAAGAAAAAAATCACCCCCTCCCAAAAATCACTGCAAGACTCATTGGAAATGCGATTAATCCCTTCCGGCCGAAGGGGGGAAGCAATCAACCATGCAAGACCCATTCGAAATACACAGAAAACAAACGGAGCAGATCGGAAATGCACAGAGAACAAAGGGGGCGGGTCAGAAATGCAAAGAAAACAAAGGAAAAAGTAAGGGAAGCATGCAGGACCCATCGGAAATGGGGGAAAACCCCAAAAAGCAACCAAGCCCCCAAGAGCCATCGGAAATGGGGGAAGAGCCAACAAACAAACCCCCAAGATACATCAGAAATGGGGAACCCCCCAAAAAAGCAACCAAACCCCCAAGACCCATCAGAAATGGGGAAAAACACTCCAAAAAGCAACAAAACCTCCCAAGACCCATCACAGCACAGAAACATAATGCCCCCAGCTCAAAACCATGCTGCAAAAACACTCAGAACAGTTTTTAAAAAGCAGAAAACAGCACCTTATCTTACCAGGCAGCCCAAAGCCTCCCTGCAAACATACACGCATGCTCACTCATTAGCAGAAGCGAGGCAGTCCCAAGCCTCCTCTGACGCACACTCTGTAACTGCTGGGGTGAAAGAGCTACAAAGAAGCAGCCTCGTCGCCACCTACAGTTAGAAATTTGAATTTCCCGCCTTTCCCCCTGGCTTATGCTGGTTGGAAGTGGAAGCTCCAGTCGCAAGTAGAAGCAAAATGTTGCGGCCGGAGCTGGTTGTAACTCGAAATGGTCATAAGTAGGGACGTTCGTAAGTCGAGCCACCACTGTAGGCGCTAGTCGGATTCAGTTGGCATGTTAATATATTTTCATTTTGTAGAGTGGACCATTATAAAATAGCATTCCCCACCTTTATGCCAATGGTTGTGCTGACTAGGCATGATGTGGATTATAGTTCAGCACATGTGGAGGGCACCAAGTGAGAAAAGGAAAAGACTGCTCTAGGATATTCGAAAAGAGCTTGAGTATTTTTCTGACATAGTATTGCCAATGTGATATGTTTTCAGGTATCTTCTGCATCTTTTACATACAATATACAGTGTTCCTGAACAGTAAGGAACTCCAATCCTGATAGGGTGGATTAAAAGTGATGATTAAAAAAAAAATAAAAATAGGATTTAAAAAATTTAAATCAAATTTATTTGAATGAAATGCTTTGGGAGGAAATATCTATATAAAGATAGTTTTCTGTTAAAGATACATTGTACTTCAAAGGTTATTCAGCATGAAATAGAGCTTAGTTATGTAACATGAGTATATTCATGTGATATTTAAATTTTTGGTAAACTAATTAAATTAATCCAAGTTATCCAAACTGAGATAACATGCATTTTTCACAGTAAAAATTGTATAAAATATACAACATACAGTAAAATACCTTAATCCCATTGTTGTTCTGCAAATTTATGTACATACAATGAACACATTACCTTAAATACTAGGTTTGAAGATTGTTTGGAGTGAAATACATCTGTAAGTGTGAGAAGGGAGTGGCAAGCAGTAAAAATGAAAGTGGAACCTTCTGAGCAGATTATAAACCTCGAGTTACAGCGGTACCTTGACTTGAGAACATCCCTACATACGAATGATTCGAGTTAAGAATGGCTCTGTCCACAAAAAGTTGCTTCGCCTTGAGAACGGAGCCTCAACTTAAGAACCAAAAAAGGAAAAAAAACACTTTCCTGTCCTTTTTTTTTTAACCTAAGTTCACCTTAGGTTAAAAGAAGAAGAAATCGCCCCCTAGTGGTAGATACTGATTAACTGGCTTTGCATTAGTTCCTATGGGAACTAATGCTTTGACTTAAGAACAGCGCCTCGACTTAAGAATGAAAAACACCAGATACGGATTAAATGGTTTTCAATGCATTCCTATGGGAAATGGTGCTTCGACTTAAGAACGTTTCGACTTAAAAACGCAGTCCCAATATGGATTTTGTTTAACCACTTCACTTAATAAACATTGATGTTTAGGCAAATACCAGAATGTGTATGTGTGAGGGTTCAGTTTTTGGGGCTGCCTGTTCTTCAAATAAAGGACGAGTCGGTTGAGATAAATCAAAGGGTTCAGTGTTTATTGCAACATCAACTCCAACAGGGTTCACCCCTAAAAAGGGGTTCAAGGATTCTTGTAACATATTGCTCGGCTTTAACGGGGTCCATAAACCGTTTATAAAAGGGTTTGTTGTCTCTGGGTTCCAAGGTCCTGTTAATAACGGCACAGTCCCCTGCCCAGGGTCCAGTTCTTCGTCTAGGGATATCAACGGTAGAGTCTCTTCATCCCCGCTCCACTCACCCCAGGACGACCCGTCTCCTCCTTCGACTCCCCAGGGGCCGGGTAACCCCCCAGTTTCCTCAATTCGGCTATATGCCATTGCTTCTTCCATTCTAGCTCTCAGGCTACTGCTTCTCTTTCTTCCCAGAGCTTCCTCCTCCACTCCTTGGCCTCGGTCTTACCCCAGTACGAAGGGCGAGGCTTCAGCCCAAGTTGGCGGCGTTTCTCCGCCTCCTCATGGGGGACTCGGACCTGCTCCCATTTGTGGGTCCAGGGATCCTCCATCCAGATCCACTCCCATCCCCCCGGTATCTCTGCCGGCTTCCCTCTTATATCTCCCGCCGCTGCCTCAATCTCCTCCCTCCTTCTTCCCACCAAAGATTCCCCAGGTCCCGGGGAAAGGGTTAACCCTTTCATAGTCTCCTCCAGGTCTCGCGTATCTACCCCCTTATTCAAGGTAGGGGGTTCGGCGACCACTTGCTCCCAATCTGGGGTCTCCACGCCTTTCTCTTCCCAACGCGTTGGGGATGGAGGTGGGGATGTCTGGGTGTGGAGGGTTCTCTTTGAGAGTGACGGCACTCCCACTAAGGCCTCCACTTTGGGGGCCTCACAGTATGCTATATAATGTTATTGTTTTAGTTAAATATAACAATTTAAGTTGTTCTCCAAATATGAGTGATTTACGTATTAAACTAAAATAAGTTCTAATATAGTTGTTTTACTAATCTGACGGGACTTTATTTTAAACATGAAATCTTCATCTGGTTACAAATACTAAAGTTTATAACTACCAGCAAGAATGAGTATTTTACATTTAAAATCACGATTCGTATCGATTCTTGGTGATTAGTGATTTAAATCGTGATTTAAATCGACTTGATTTAAATCAAATCCACCCTGAATCTTGATAACCTGAATTGAAATTGTATGTAGGAAGAAAGTGGTGAAAAGGATCTATGAGTATATTGCACTTGAAATGAAGAATCTCATTTAGACCCCAACTTTTTTATAAGTTTCAATAATAATGAATTTATTCTGCTTGATAGTTTAAAAGTGCATCTGTGGGAGCTTATTTTGTTTGTTTTTTAGATATGGACAGTACAGCTTCAAATGTAGATTCTGAGTATATCAAGAACCTTCAACAGCAAATTTATTTCCTTGAACTGGAAGCCAACTTTCTATATCCTCCACAGTACTATCTGCTGTTGGCACTAAGCCAGTCAGCTAAAGAATAACTAAAATCCTGTTGCTCAGCTCTGTCTGCTATGCAGTGGGAATTATGGCATCGGCAGCAGCAAATTGCTCCTAATAAAGGCTTCTTTTTTGCATGTGGGTCAAAATTGCAACAGGAAGCCTTTACTCAGCAGAAATCTGCTGCTACCAGAGACATTACTACTGTACAATCAGATTTTGGGCCCTAATGGAATAAGAATGCGATATTGAAAATAATACTTGAAAAGGGCATATTGGGAGGAAATATTTTATGGATGCTGACTGAAAAACACTTGTAAGGTGTGAGCCAAAAGGTGAGGCGGGATCACCGCTCGCTGGAGCCCTGCGCATCCCCACAAAGGACACAGAGAGAAAAGGGGAATATGGACTCACAATGCCTCCAGAAAAAACCTCAGAGGAGTCCCTCCAGAGGGCAGAAGAGGAAGAACTATCCCAGAGCTTGAGGGGGATGGGAGTAAGGGAAGAACATTTAAGGAAGGTGGGAAAGGAAAGCAAGGAGAGGGAGGAGATAGAAGCAGGAGAAGGAGAAGTGATAGAGAAAGGAGAGACATTGCCTCCAGGTTGGGAATGGATCTGGTTGCAAGATCCTTGGACCCAGAAGTGGGAGAGACTGAAGGTGCCTAGGGAGGAGGCAGACCATAGGAAAAGAGCAGTGAATCCCCCTAGACCATCTTACTGGGGAGAAGCAAAAGCAAGAGAATGGAGGAAGAGGTTAAGAGAGGAGAAAGAAAGGGTGGGAACGGAGTGAATTGCGAGCATGGGAGATGAAAAAGAGGCCAGAGTGGAGAGGGCTTGGGAGACGGTGGTACACGGGAAGCATCCCAAGTGGAAAGATTTCCTTGTAGACGTATCCATGCCCCTGTTGTCTATACAGACAGGGATGACGATGAAAGTATGGTCACCAGCCGAGCAGCCAGGACCATGGAACTCTAGTTACGGTAACCTTCACTTTAGAAGATTGGAAGGCCCTTTCCGCCCTGTTGGAGAGAGGTGAAAAAGACTATGTTCCAGTTCATGATAATTGTTTATTCAACAGTTCAAAAATAAATGTTCCATCATTACCACAGCAAATGGTGTCTGGTGAAGTTATTAGGGATAAAGAAGAACCACATGACTATCCAATTGAATCCACACATAAAGGAAGTAACAATGAATGAATACTTTATTACGGTCAAAGACCAGTAAAATCAAATCAATATAAAATAGATACATATAATTATACAGTGGTGCCCCGCATAGCGACGTTAATCCGTTACAGGATTAACGTCGCTGTCCGGAAACATCGCTAAACGGAACTGAAAACCCCATAGGAACACATTAAACTCCGTTTAATGCATTCCTATGGGGTGAAAACTCACTAGTAAGCGAAGATTCCCCATCCGACCGCCATTTTCGCCGCCTCGGTAAACGAGGACAGGGTGTGAAAACGGAGCAGGCAGCCATTTTATTCTTCCGGTGGCCATTTTGGAACCGCCAATCAGCTGTTTCTAGAACATCGCAATGCGAAGATCGGTAAGCGAAACACTTACTGATCATCGCAATGCGATTTTTGGCCTATCTAAACATCACAATGCGATCGCATTAGTGATCGCAAAAACGCGTCACTATGCGGATTTGTCGTTGAATGGTGCGCTCGTTAAGCGAGGCACCACTGTAGTTTGGTAAGTAACAATGATAGACATAACTAACACTGTTTCAGATATTACTGCATGTGCATTTTGACCTTAACTTGCTATTATTACTCGTGAACAGGCTAAAAAAGCCACTAATTTTCAACCTCACATTGCATCTGAAATGGAGCATATTCTGCAAAAAGTACAGGTAAAAGTTTTCTTCATCTACATTTGTAAGAATCATAGCATAACCAATGCATGCTAGTTTTCTTCATCTACATTTGTAAGAATCAGCATAACCAATGCATGTCAGAACACCATCCCATGCCTTTCACTTTCATTTAAATGGGAACTGAATGTATCTTTTAAAAGATATTATGTTACTTTTCTTGTTTATATATGTAGAATTCTTTTTCTGATCATCTTAGGGATAGAAAAACAGATGCAGCATAATGTTAGCTTCTCAGGAACACCCAATTCAGTGTATTAGTCATACATAATAGGCAGCTTGTAGTGGCAATTCCCCATCATAGAGCTGGCCAAATTCAAACAGACAAAAACTAAAATGGCAGCGGTGTGATTAAAAAAAAAGAGGATGGCATCCAGAAGGTGCATAGGAAGTTAATAAATGATTAGGCTGGGAAATTCCAGATGTGGGCTTCCCAGCTTCTATCAGCTTCAGGTACATGATGTGATGCGATGGGAGTCCTGGTCCAATGACATCTGAAGAGATTTTCAAATAGCAGTGTTAATTTGTGTAGCAGAAACAAAAATGAAAGTGAAAATACTATGTCACCTTCAAAGCCAACAGATTTATTTCAGTGTAAGTTTTTGTGAAAGATAGTCTACCTTCCCAGTACATTTTAAATATTTAAAGCAGGGGTCCCCAATCCCTGGCCACGGCCTGGTACCAAGCTGTGGCCTTGGCAGGACCAAGCCATGGAAACAGATCTCCCAACCCCCCTCCACATGCACTCTTCCCACATGCAGACATGGCACGCCACACAGGTGCCCCGCCCATCTGCACATGCACGTGACCATGCCCTACCTACCAGCGAGCACACCCCATGCATACGTTGGAGCGCACTTCACCCACCCACGAGTGCCCATCTGCACATGCATGCAAGCGTGCCCCACCCCCTGCACACGGAGCCCACCCCCCAGTCCACAATTTGGAAAAGGTTGGGGACCACTGATTTAAAGGACTAAATGTTGCCCACTCCAATCTCAGTTCAATATCCATTTCTAAAATTAAAAAAATACTGCAAGCATTAAAATCAATTTAACTTGCTGTACAACGACCAAAATACTGTTCCTTAGCATAGTAAATCACACTGATTCAAATGGCCCTACTCTTAACTGTGACATATTTTAGCAGTTTAAGGTGCAGTTAGAGTTAGGCCCATTTGAGTCAATGGAACTTACCACTGAGTTGACGCAATAAATCTCCACTGATTCAGTGGGCTTATTTTAGTACAATTTATGACAAGATTTTGGCCAATATTTTTGTTCTCTTATAGGAACTACAGTCTCAGTCTGATGGCCTTCAGCTAGAACTTAAGAGAAAAGAAAGTGGTTTGCAGATGCTGAAGTTAGAGAGAGAACGACTTAGCAACCAGATCACTGTGGCTGATGGTAACCTTTTTTCAACATCATTAAATAATAGCTTGCTTGCAGCCCTTGTGTTGTTGTTTTTTTCATGATAATCCATTGAAATTTCTGGTGATGTTTAATTTCCAAACACAATTAGAAGTGAAGGGCCTTGGCACTGGGAGATTGCAGTAGTAAGATAAAAGGCTATGGCCTATATCTATCATGGTGCTGGTGCTGCACTTTCCCTCCTTTCTTTTGCAGGACTTGGAAACCAGCTTTGTAGGAGGTGTTGGGAATGCACAGAAGACTCTCTTTGGGGAGAGGGGAGTGGAGATAGCCTTGCTCGTTCCACTGAGGGAATTAGTTCCATCATTAGATGTACCCTTTTGAATTCTTGCTAATCATAAAGGAAGATCAACATACATATCTCATAAGCAGAGCAATCTTAAACCCACTTTCTATGGAACATGTACTATTAGTTTCCTGCTTATTTTCAATATGATATCTGGAATTTAAAAAGACAGCTGCCTTGTATAACGCCACCACACACAGAGAATTCTTGATCACATTAAAATTAATGGGAAAGAGTCTAATTAAAGTGGGAATCCAAGCATAAGATAGTGGTAAGTGCAGGATCACCATCTTTTTTCCAACTATTTTAATATTTTTTCCAGAAAATCACATTCAAATTATTAATGATATTAAGTGTGAATTTACTAATTCTGGAGTCCTGGATTATTTATTATGTTCTGGGTTTTGATTTTGTTTGTGCCCCATCTTGTATTGTGAGGTTATATATCAAGCTCAGAAGAAATACCAAGTTTGCTATGATGAAGAAGCTATTGTGAATGCCACCTTGAAATGCATTTTATATATGAATGAAAGTAACATAAAATAATAGAAGGAAAATGTGGGGTTTTTTTGTTGTTAATTTAAGAGTTAATAACTAACTGTTGTTTCCTGTATATATTTACTTGGAAATGCAATATCCTGTGTACAATAGAGGGTATACCCAGATAAACTTGCTGGGAATGCAGCCCAAGAGAACTATTTTTATTGTCAGCTATTTTTAAAAGGGACATGGTGGAGCTGCAGGTTAAACCACAGAAGCCTCTGTGCTGCAAGGTCAGAAGACCAGCAGTCGTAAGATTGAATCCACGCAGTGGAGTGAGCTCCCATCACTTGTGCCAGCTCCTGCCAACCTAGCAGTTCGAAAGCATGTAAATGCGAGTAGATAAATAAGTACCACCACGGTGGGAAGGTAACAGTGTTTTGTATCTAGTCACGCTGGCCACGTGACCACGGAAACTGTCTACGGACAAACGCTGGCTTTACGGCTTGGAGACGGGGATGAGCACTGTGCCCTAGAGGCAGACACGGCTGAACTAAATGTCAAGGGGAACCTTTACCTTTATTTTTATATATCAAGAAACAGCTTTTGCCATATTGTTTGATTTCATATGTTACCTGAAGTGTGGTCTGGGGAGATTTAATTAATGTTAGATGTTTCTTTGGGGGAAGGTGGAGAGAAGAGAATACTTGCAAGAAGGTAATGAAACAGGAAGCAACATTATTTGGGGTTGAAATAGTTAGACATCATGTACTGGCATATTCCCTTCCTCATACCTGTTGATTCAGAAGCTTTATCAATGAAAGTAAATATTTAAATACGCAGGATTTTCTAACCAGAGAAAGCTCAGTGACAAAGATTTGTATTAATCTTCTGTTATCTTTTCAATTTCCCTCTTCTACTCCTATCTTGTAAACAGTGTCATAAAGTATTTAAAAACAAAGAATCTAATATATTCTTATTTCATTCTTCATGCAAATCATTTGCCTGGAGGACCTTTTACAATACAATACAAAAAAAGAGATCTTTAATGTCTGAGTAGTCACTTATGAGCCAGTCAGCTCTAAATGAAGAAGTGATAGCAGTCTAGAGAACATGACAGTAATCTGATACAGAAGATGAAAAAGAGGTTTAATCTGAAGAATGTGAAAATATAATAGCACAGCACTTGTTTTCTTGTTAAGTATAAGAATCAGGTTTAATAATTTAAATTTCCTTCTAATTTTGAAAAAATAGCCTCACCATGTGGTCACGTTTTGTATTACTGCTTCACATTCTGCCTTTTGGAAATATCAATATATATTTGTATAACTTAATTCATCTTCTCAGTCGTTTATATAATTAAGCAGAATAAAGTTTCTAAAAAAATGATTTGGGCGTATTTCATGCTTCAATATGAATTAGTTTCTTTTTTTTTAATATTTTTTTAT